ACTAGCACATATCCCCTTCCCCCCCCAAAAAAAAAATTCTCCTCCTAGCACAAATCCGCACCCTCTTGAACTATATCTCCTTTTCTAGCATAATAACCCAAATCCCCCCTCCTAGCACAAATTCTCTTCCCCCATTTCTCCTCTCAACCCAAATCCCCCAAATCCCCCAATCACCCACTACAGTCCCCAGGGCAGCTAACCCTCCTGCCCACCCCTTGTCCCGGCCCTGAGTCTAGGGGTATGCTTTTCTGATGCTTGAACTTGGCTAGGAGTAGGGTATCTGTGGGATATTCCAGTAACTCTCAGTAGCAATTTTGAGGACACTGAACGTCCTTCTATAGAGCTAAGTCCTTGTACATGTAGAAGATGGACTGAGCTTTGTGGTAGCAACTTGAGGATATGAATCTTCCTCTTACAACAATCTGAGCAGAGTCATCTCACCAGGAACTAATGGACTGAGCTCTTCAGGACATATTGTTCCCTGTACACACAGCTGACTCTATGGCACCAGAGGGGTAGCACCAGTCTCTAGGATCTCTCATGCCGGTCTGTACCCACTTAATGTCTCAAATATTTGGTTGCCTCCTGCCAATATCTTCCAGAAACTTTCTCTCAGAGACATAGATCCTCAGACGAAAGGCCCCTCAGTCAGCCCCAGCAACTCTCAGCAACCAGGCCCTTTAGTTAGCCTAGCTGGGACCCCGATGAACTACAAGCACATGGCAGAATTGCCTAGAGGTCTAGCAGCCCCCCTAGGCTGTGATTTCCTCCTCGGGGACAAGACACCTCTTTTCCAGATCTCAGACTATACACCTTCCCAGCAACCATTGTCGCAGTCTCCCACAGGGGTTGGATGTGACAGTATAAATTCATGCTGCCCATGGGCCTTACTCCACAGCTATGTTCCAGAACCACCCAGAAAATTCTGGATTGCAGGGAGAGCAATCAACCGTGCAGCCTGTGAAACACAGAACAGATCTAAACAATCACATCCAGGTGCACTGATTACAGTGAGCCAGAACTAAATTTACCTAACCTAGAACCTGTTTAGGAGGGTGATACACCTTATAGAAAGTAAAATATGAAATAGGGTACATAGGGATGTGAAAAGAACCCAATATCAATATTCCCACTGAACATATTCTTGGTGGGGTCTTGGGTGAGAATAGAGGTACATTAGTAGGTTCACCAAATTGGACGCCACATGTTTAACGGTGAACCTTAGTAGGCCAAAGACCAGGAGGTAGCACAGAGGCACCAAATCTGTAGATTCTGAAGAGTTCTATCACCCTCCACAAGAGTATATGACAGTGGAAAAGTGCTAAAGTGGAGCAACAGTACACTTAAAATCTAAAGCCTGTCTGTTTAGCGGCAATTCATTAGCACAGTAGAAAAATATACCTTTAGCGTAAAATTCCTGGTTAGATGCAATGGGGTGTTCCTAGGCAATGGTGGCACTGTCTAGGAACACTCTTTTCTCCCAGATTTATAGGAGTCTCACAGGAATTTTTCATCAACAGAGGCATATTCCACCCATTCCTGCTTCTGATTACTGTATTAATAATAATATCATAGGATGGGGCCTTGGAACAGAAAGAGCTTCCCAGTGATATCTTGCAACTCTACTAATATGGTGGTCTCCTTGCAGGAACATGGTGCTGTAGAAGGGATTTCAAAACACGCCTAGGCAAAAGATCAGTTGCTGAACAACTAATGTTAGTGCTGTATCATTCAAAACCGACTTGTCTCAAACTATTTGAAAGTCTAGGTCCACTTTAAATGAATGTGTGACTAAACCATTTTTTACCATACTGCATTCTTCCCATACTCCCAGTATAGTGGTGGCAAATGGATCCTTCTTGAGCCAGTGCTAATGGATGCCACTTTTAGGAATTCCAGAGCCATCGACTGCCAGATTCCTGTAGATGCCAGCCAAGCTGATGGAATGGAACCAGTGGATAACAAACCAATTGCAAGATGGAGAGTCAAGGTATTGAATTTATCTTGGGGAAATCTGTATTAATGACAGTTTACAAACAGTGAGTGCTGATTGGTATAATCTGGTTAGAGCAGCCTTTCTCAACCAGGTTGCCCAGGTACCCTGGGGTGCCTTGAGCTTTCTTCTGGGGTACCTTGGCAAAATGTCTAAAAGTTGCACAAAACTTGTATACTAGCTAGAGGGTGGAAGAAGCCTGACATTTAGTTACACAAAACCACAGGCTTTCATTGTGGACCATTACGACCTCCTAGCCACCAGCGTCCTGAAAACCAATGACATCATGAGTTGATAAAGAGTATGTCAGCTGCCTGCACAGCATCCTAGATTGACCCTCCCCTTACCCTCTATGTCAGTGCTGGGGTCACATTAGCTCAGTGATGGATAAAAACTGAGGGAGAAGAGAAACATTGGAATACTAGTCAGGACCTGTGTGCAAAAGTGTATTTGATTTGAAAGAATAAATCACCTGTAGCATTGGGTGTCCATGTGTGGATGTTGCCGCATTATATAAAACATTACATTTTAGAATGGGGTGCCACAAGACTGTCTATAATTTTAAAGGGTGCCTCGGGACTGTTCATCATTTTAAAGGGTGCTTTGACTGAATAAATGTTGAGAAACACTGGGTTAGAGAATTAAAGATCCAGCAAGGTATTTTTAAATAGCAAAATGTTAATGTAGCTTAGTGGACCATATGGTAAAAACTGTTGGTTATGTGTTAGAGAAGACACTAGTAGCTTGTGATGAGGCAGAACTTGGTTTACTTGTGTGGCTTAAGTTGCAAAAATACAAAACATTTCAGCAAACTGTAACAGCAGGCATCTTGGTTATAGAGAGAGAGAGAGAGAAGAAGAGAGAGAACCAACAAGTTTTACAGATATGCACAACTGGTAACCTTAGTGTACAGTGCCATCTACTGGTCAAGTGATATTAACACACAATACTGTATATAGTACATGCTGTTGCATCCCCAACAAAAACAAGGAAACAGTTTGGGCCCAGACATCTAGCACAAGGAGATAAAGTATTAAGAAGAGAGAGGAAGGCAGTAAATAGGAAACAGGTCCATAAGGTGCAGATGGAACGGCATGAGAAAGAGGGGGGACAAGCAATGACGAAAGGAGTGGGTAGGTAAGAAGAAAGGGAGGCGAAAAGGGAAGAGAGGGAAATGGATGAGGAATGGAGGGGGCAAGTGAAGAAAAAGGGCAGGGAACTTAACAAGAAGGGATGAGTGATGTTCCAAGAAGACTTCCTGCAGGAGAGAGTGGGCCAAAGTTGGTTAGAGCTTTGGCTGGAGTTGGTATGGCCATCTTCATTGGCTGGTGCAGGATGACGTCACTCCTGTGTAAGCGCAAGAGTCAGTCATACTGGCACACTGGGATTGATGTAAGTTGTGCTTTGCATGCACATTTCAGTTTACCCTGCGAGCAGGCAGGTAAGTATGTTTTATTGAAGAAGACACATTGCATATCTCTATTGCAATAAAGAGCCTGCCTGCCTGCTTGCAGTTAGTGACAACAGAACTTTAGTGATGCTTTAAACCTACCTATCATAAAGTTTTGTAGACCCCCTGTGTCACCAGGGGCCACAGCATAAACAGAGTCCAGGTTCCAGACAGGGAAACAGAGCAGTGAATGACAATAGCAGGGAAAATGGGCCAATGATCAATATAAGCACTGGCAAGCGGGTACAAATGTAGTCCAAACTATGCACAAGAATAATATAAGTCAGAAGTTAGAGACAAACAGACCTCTAATTCACGGCATGAGTAAACGGACTGACCTGTTGTTCAGACACAGACTAAATGTCCAACAGTCCAATTAAGCTTCCTTGATCAGGGTACATGTGTGCACAGCTGAAACCTGAGCTGCAGTGCTGAGTAACAACCAGCAGATGGTGAATGTTTAACCACTTCCCGTTCGCCCTATAGCAGAAATAATGCTACAGGGCGGCACAGGTGCGTAAAATCACGTATATATACGTGATTTTGCATTTCTGGGTAGGGGGCGCGCGTGTGCGCCCTACCCGTGCCGCCATTCGTCAATCATCGGATCCTGGATGGTGATCACTCGCCGGCACCCGGTGATTGCTGAGCATCTCTGACATGGGGGGGAGGAGAACTGTTTGTAAACAGAACAGTTCTCCTCCCTGTCAGCTTGTGCACACTGCTTTGGATGGCTGTGCACAGCACAACCAGGCAAAGCAGTGTACTTACAGTGAAGCACCAACACACAGCACATAGTAAAACAGCACACAGTTAACACTTTGATCGGCCCTCATGTTAACCCCTTCCTGCCCAGTGCCATTAGTACAGTGTAGGTGTTTTTTTTAGCACTGATCACTGTATTGGTGTCACTGGGGATGTCAGTGACACCAAGTCAGTTCCCCCTCAGTGTCACAATCAGTTCAGAATCCAAGTCAGTTCCCCCCAGTGTCAGAATACCCACCGCAGTCCCATTATAAGTCACTGATCGCCGCCGTTACTAGTAAAAATTAAAAAAAATTTAAAATCCCAGTATATATAACGCTATTTGTTAACGCTATAACTTTCACGTAAACCAATTGATTTACACGTATAGGGATTTAGTTTAGCAAAGACATGGAGCAGAATACATTTTGGCCTAAATTTAGGATGAAATTAGATTTTTTTTATTTTTTTACTGGACATGTTTAATAGCAAAAAGTCCAAAATATTGTTTTTTTCTCAAAATTGTCACCCTTTTTGTTTATAACACGAAAAATAAAAAATGCACAGGCAATCAAATACCACCAAAAGAAAGCTCAATTTGTGGGGAAAAGAGGACGTAAATTTAATTTGGGTGCAGCGTTGCACGACTGCTCAATTGTCAGTTAAAGTAATGCAGCGCCGTAACGCAAAAACTGGCCTGGTCAGGAAAGGGGGTAAATCCTCAGGAGGGCAAGGGGTAAAGGAAGATCAAAACACTACCTAAACTGGAAGCATAAAGCACAGGATCCATCTGGAACTGGCAAATACCTTCACCCAGGGGCGGACTGACCATTGCAGCACTCGGGCATTGCCCGAGAGCCCGGGGTCAGTAGGGGGCCCCATGAGATGCCCCTGGTACCTTTCATAGGCTGTTTTGGGTGTGGTTTGAGTGTGGGCGAAGACACAGGGGCCCCATGATCCGCTATTGCCCAGGGCCCCATGAGCTACCAGTCCACCCCTGCCTTCACCTAACTCCTTGAGTGCCTCAATCCTCTGATGCACAATACCCTTTTAAAAACGAGTTTCAACTTTTGTTGAGAAAGTTGAGCACAGGCCCTTCTTTTCCCACCTTCTCCTGAAAGTTGCTTTTGGACATTGAGATTTCCCGTCCTCTTGAAGGACCAATAGGGAAATGGAGGGGTGGATTTTGAGATTTACATGTTAACAGTGAAAAGTGAAGAACATCAAGAGTCTGATATGTTCTAATGTTGTCCTTTTGTTCTGATGGATTGTCTAGTTGACAACCTGAACATTTCTATACGATTTATTCAAATTATTTAGTAGCGCGGTGAATGATTTGCAAAAGAGATTTGAGTTTGGGACTTCGCAATTTTATACGATAGCAACAAGTTCTCTAATGTTTTGTTAGAACTAATAAAGGTCTGCAATGCTAGGCTGACTTTCCCATCAGTTTCTGTCCCATTGACAATGGTTTCCAGGAAAAACAAAGAGAGTGAATCTTTCCTGCGGGGAACACAGACAGCAATAAAAATCTTTACAGGGCTTCTAATTCTTCTACATTTTATCCAAAACTAAAAAAAAAAGATTTGGCTTCAGATTAACTGTACTTCTTTAAATCTAAATGGTTGGAAATACAGCTTGCAGCTATTATTATGTTCTTGGCTGTTTGAAGTAAAACTCCACTATGTATGATTATGTGTTATTGAGAGGCAATTTACATTCCACATCTCTGTATGCAGGTCTCCAACGATGGCGAGGTCTTCAGTAACTTTAAATCAATGATTCTGTATGACGGAGCTTGCCAGACCTGCGATCCTGTGTCTGATGGACTGTGTAAGCTGAAGGTATATTACGCCATTCCTTTCACTATTACTCCCCCAATTAATGAAGTGATGGGGGGGGGGGGGGGGGGATGTTACAAATGTGTCCCATAGAATGTATAAAAAGTCATAAGTCACTAAAAAGCATAGTACCATTGTCAGTGACTTTGGTGTAGATAAGGGGTCTCAAGAGTTTAAAAGGACCAGTTTACTGTCCTTCAGACTTTAGGGGGGTCAGACTGTGTCCAGTGGGAGTAGAAAATGCCCCAAAATCAGTGGAGGTAAACATTGACCGAAGCTTGGTGGTTAGTGGGAGTAGAGAAATTACATATCACCTGTGGTCAGTAGAAAGAGGAGTAGCGCCCCATCATTGGTATCAGTGAGAGGAATAGCGCACCATCATTGGTGTCAGTGGGAGGAACAGCGCCCCATCATTGGTATCAGTGAGCGGAATAGTGCCCCATCATTGGTGTCAGGTATCAGGGTATCAGGGGAGGAATAGCGCCCCTACATTAGTGTAAGTGGAAGGAATAGCGCCCCATCATTGGTGTCAGTGAGCGGAATAGTGACCTATCATTGGTGTCAGTGGGAGGAATAGTGCCCCATCATTGGTGTCAGTGAGCAAATTAGTGCCCCATCATTGGTATCAGTGGGAGGAATAGCGCCCCACCTTTAGTGTCAGTGGGAGAAATAGTAGTAATGGTGACCCATAATTGGAGTCAATGGGAGGAATAGTGCTCCATAATTGGTGTCAGTGGGAGGAATAGTGCCCCATCATTGGTGTCAATGCAAGGAATAGTGCCCCATCATTGGTATCAATGGGATCAATAGTGCCCCATCATTGGTATCAGTGGGAGGAATAGTGCCCCATCATTGGTGACAAAGGGAGGAATAGTACCTTATCGTTACTATTAGTGGGAGGAATAATGCTCTATTGCTGGTGTCAGTAGAAGGAATAGTGATCCATTATTGGTGTTCTTAGAAGGAAAAGTGCCCCATCTTTGGTGTCAGTGGGAGTAATGATGACCCATAATTGGTGTCAATGAGAGGAATAGTGCTCCATCATTGGTTTCAGTGGAAGGAATAGTGCCCCAACATTGGTGTCAGTGGGAGGAATAGTGCCCCATCATTGGTGTCAGTGGGAGGAATAGTGCCCCATCATTGGTATCAGTGGGAGGAATAGTGCCTTAATGTGTTAGTGGAGGAATAATGCCCCATTATTGGTGTTCTTAGGAAGAGAAGTCCCTATCATTGGTGTCAGTGGGAATATTGGTGACCCATAATTGGTGTCAATGGGAGAAATAGTGGCCCATCATTGGTGTTGGCGGGAGGAATAGTAACCCCTCACTGGTGTCAATAGCGGGAATAGTGTTCCATTGTTTATATCAGTGGAAGGAATAATGCCCCTAGGGTTGGATAAAGAGCAAGCAAAGGGCTGAAGTTTGGCAATCACTGGTGTAGATAAAGGTATGGACACAACCATTTCTAGTCTCTTTTTCTAGCAACAATCCCAAAAATCTCTAGTTCCACTCCATGCATGCAGTTCCTGGTGGAATGATTTGCTGCCCAGCAGCATCTGTATATTTCTAGTGCCAACCTCAGCGGAGCGAGACGGAGCTCGGTGCAAATAGCACCAGATCTGTGAAGCTTCTTCTCTTTCAGGAAGGTAACCCCTGAACTCTGATATCCTATGTTACTGAGCACTCACTCGTCACTTACAAAAAGGAGTACCCACTACTGTTTAGAAAATGAAAAGGGGCACTAACCAGTGATAATAACAGAAAGGGGCATAACCAGTGATAATAACAGAAAGGGGCACTAACCAGGGGATAATAACGGAAAGGGGTGCTCACTAGTGATCAGCAATGGAAAGGGGTCTGTACCGCTAAGTAGCAGTTAAAATGGTGTACTCATCACTAATTAGCAAAAATAGGGGGGGAACTCACCACTGATCAGCAATGGATAGGGGCACTCACCCCTGATTAGAAAGTTGCACTGGAAAAGGGCACTTAATTTATTATGTGGATGTTATTTACTATATGTCTCCCTTGTGCAGACATCCAAAAGCAAAGAGACTGCTGTTGGGTGTCACCACCTTGGATGTGATGTCAGCAGTCCCAGAAGACCCAGAGCTGTCATTTAAAGTGTTTCTAAACCCTGGACCCTGCATTCACTATATCTGGTCTCCCTATATATATCTGGTCTCCCCCCTGGACCCTGCATTCACTATATCTGGACCCTCATCTCCCCCCGGACCCGGCATTCACTATATCTGGTCTCCCCAGACCCTGCATTCACTATATCTGGTCTCCCAGAACCCCGCATTCACTATATCTGCTCTCCCAGAACCCCGCATTCACTATATCTGGTCTCCCCGGACCCTGCATTCACTATATCTGGTCTCCCCGGACCCTGCATTCACTATATCTGGTCTCCACGGACCCTGCATTCACTATATCTGGTCTCCACGGACCCTGCATTCACTATATCTGGTCTCCCCAGACCCTGCATTCACTATATCTGGTCTCCCTGGACCCTGCATTCCCTATCTGGTCTCTCCGGACTCTGCATTCACTATATCTGGTCTCTCCGGACTCTGCATTCACTATATCTGGTCTCTCCGGACTCTGCATTCACTATATCTGGTCTCTCCGGACTCTGCATTCACTATATCTGGTCTCCCCGGACCCTGCATTCCCTATATCTGGTCTCCCAAGACCCTGCATTCACTATATCTGGTCTCCCCGGACCCTGCATTCAGTATATCCGGTCTCCCTGGACCCCGCATTCACTATATCCGGTCTCCCCCGGACCCCGCATTCACTATATCCGGTCTCCCCGGACCCTGCATTCACTATATCTGGTCTCCCCGGACTCTGCATTCACTATATCTGTTCTCCCCGGACCCTGCATTCACTATATCTGGTCACCCTGGACCCTGCATTCACTATATCCTCTGGTCTCCCAGGACCCTGCATTCACTATATCTGGTCTCCCAGGACCCTACATTCACTATATCTGGTCTCCCCGGACCTTGCATTCACTATATCTGGTCTCCCCAGACCCTGCATTCACTATATCTGGTCTCCCCGGACCCTGCATTCACTATATCCGGTCTTCACTCTAATTGCTGGACCCTGCATTCACTATATCTGGTCTCCCACAGTACACACAACATGGAAATGCAATTATTTTAGAAAATATAAACAGCTAAATACCTTTTCTCATCAGCAGTATATAGCAGTCTTATGACTTCTATCAGCGTCCAGCAGAGCACTGGTTAAAGCTTATAGATGGAGTTTTCATTTTGCTCTGACTATCCTATGAGGCTGTATGACCCCTGACCTTCTGTCTGAACAGTGCTGATTGGCCCTGTGCTGATCACATGCACCCTCCCAATGAAAAAAAAAAAAACCCTCTCTAGCAATATACATTAAACTAAGCATGTGCAGAGCAGGGGTGGACTGACAAATCATGGGGCCCCCGGGCAATAGGGGATCATAGGGCCCCTGTATCCTTGCCCAAACTCAAAAAAGCCTATGAAAAAGATACCAGGGGTATCTCATGGGGCCCCCTACTGACCCCGGGCCCTCGGGCAGTGCCCAAGTTTCCAAATGGTCAGTCCGCCCCTGGTGCAGAGTAACTCCTAGAGCTCTGTACTATCAGCAGATGGATTGGGGACAGTAGAAGACAGGATCAAACAGTCTTTTTACACAATGCAGAGGATTAACCCCTATATTCCACAGTGAGTACAGCAAGCATGCATTAATGCATATACAGACTGATTTTACTGATTTTCGGATTCCCCTTCACTCCTCTGGCAGCTACATAAAAAGTTAAATTGATAGGTGAGGGAGGGGTGTGTGTGTGTGTGTGTGTGTGGGGGGGGGGGGGGTGTAGCTAGGCCAGCATTGAAAGTAAGTAGACTTTCCTAGAAGAGGAGATGGCTATGACATTTAAGGAGGAAGAAAGGCTGTGCTAGGGAACTGACTCTTCCTGGAGGAATCAAGTATTCTGGAAAGTTCACAGTCACATTGCACATCAGTAAAAATCATTTATGGAAAGAAAAAAATCCTGTAAGTAAGCATTTAAAATGATTGATATTTCTGTGATTTGACATGCAATCATTTCAGTTAGTGACAGGGTCTCTTTAAAGTTCTTTAAAGGTGCAAGAAAATAA